GTTTTCTTTTTATTTATTCACTATTCTGATTTGCATTTCTAACTGGTATCAAGTCAGTTTTAGATCATCAGAATAATTTCATACACTTGGTGAGTGAGGAAATTAAAAAAAATCCCAAATACTTTAATTTCCTTTAAAATAACTAGAAACTACAAATCAAAACCATCTTAAACATAATTTCATCTGAGTTTGTTGGTATCATTACCAAGGTTTGACTTGATAATTTCAAATGAATTTAGCATTAGGTAGATTGTCAATAATGAAATTAATGTATTTGTAATGTTTCAATGAATTGAAAAATTAAAATCTTCCGTTTCGTGACTTAATGTATACCAATTCTTCAGAGAATAAATTTTTCAAAAAATGTGGCTTATGCTGAGTCACGGAACGTCAGAAAATTTCATTTTCCTACTCTTTGGAATATTCCATGTAGATTATTTTTTACTAGAATTTCAACCGCTTTGTTTCTAAATCTTACAGTTTTGACGACGTTTTCTTCTTTTGTAATAAAGAAAAATCTGTAAACATAAGGAAGCGTTATGTAGATCTTGTTTTGTGGCAGCAAAAAATTACATCTTAGAATTCGCTTTTGCGCTAACCTCATAAGATAGATTCATTTCTTTGATTGAATTTTTCCCCAACATTTTTTTAAAGGGGCTGTATCTGGTTAGTCGTTGATATTTGATTTAATCATACCTCTACTCAAACTATGATATGAAAAGTGGTATATTTCATATTTTTTTTAAAAATTGTATTTCGTTGGAAAGACAATGTGTCAAACAGTTAATGATTTTACTTTAAGCGTTACTGATTAAAATGATTGGAAAAAATTGTAAACGCAAATTCACTACAATGAATATCGGTTCCTCCTTGAAATCAAATCCTTTTTCTATGCAGATATTAATCTTAGCAAAATGAAAAATATATCTAATGACTCGCTTTTTCATAAGCGAAAAGATGGATTCAAATCTGTAACATAAATTGATGGACGACCTGAGTATTACATTTGTAAAATATTCTCTAATATAAACTTTCAATTGTTTGATGAAAATTGTTTCATGACGTTGACAATACACTTGAATGTAATTTAGTTTGTTATATTCTCATAAACAGACTGATAACATCAAAGCATTATTCTTGATTCTCTACTGGTTCTTCATAATTGACACTATCTTGATATTAAATTACTGGACACAGTGAGAATTTTGGTGTAATTGATATTACTGAGAGTTTTCTAAGAATTTACATCAAATATTCACCTTTCATCACGGTGGTTATATGTGTTTCATGAATAAAATAGATTCTTATTTATAAAAAATACCCTGGGTCGGCCGAAAGTGGGGAGAGTTCACTCTCCCTCTCCAAACGCTCTCACGTGGGCACACGTATATAGCTTCTGCCAGAGAAGTCCTACTCAATGCCTTCTCATGGCGGGGCTGTTACTTACGAAATTGAGAGGAAGAAAAGCGAATATCCGGAGCTTTAACAGGGTTGGTGGATATGGAAAGTTCACCTAGGGAATTCGCAAAACCATGATTGCAAACCAATAATGCACATGGGCTCCACGATCCTGAGGGAACAAATGGCGTATGAATCAGTCGTTGGTCACTGGCTACCATGGGACTGCATTTCCTCACGATGCTCCACTGCCTTGTGGATCAGACCTTTAGATGGAAGGCTCCAAGTGTGGCCGCTTAAGAAAACCATCTGCTTTGGTCTGGGCACCTGGGCAGTATCACAGCCCTCACACAAATTGAATGAGATTTGTGTGGCACATATGTATCTGGTGCCCCTTTATACCAATATTTATGTGTTTAAATAAATAAATTAATAAACATTAATATGATGGTACTTATATAGGATAACGATATTATAAACATGATAAATACTTAAATATAATCGATAGGAAATTTAAAACCTCATTTGCTAATATTTGAGATTAATCCACAGTAACTATCTGAAGTGTTAAAGGAAATATTATACTTTATGGGATTCAAATCCATGTCATCCAGCGTCACAGATAGTGACACTAATACCAATCAATAGTTTACGTGGTTAATCACTTATATGATCAATATTTAGAAAACCTGAACTTATTGTATGTTACCAATTTCTAATGAATACTTTTCTACCTATACTAATCCAACAAATCTGAATCGGAATTTCCTTTTTCCGCTTGTTTACATTATCGTTTTATTAAAAAATGATAAGTAGATTAAAGAGTGCATCGTCAATTAAGCGAATCCAAAGTGTTTACAATCTATTTTCATAGGTTTAAAAATAAACATAGAAATTATAAATAAACAGTCCTATGAATGCTTTCTTAATTTAGTCACAAAGATTGTCTTTTTATTAAACTTAATCTATATGTTGAATTCAATTTTACTCAATACATTCCTAACATAAAGGATAAATACTTATCTTTATTTATTAGTTAGATTCATTAGTCAATTAAAGGTATACTGCTATGGGAAGAATGAAATCAGTGGATGGTTTTTTCGTCCTTGTACGAGACTCCTCATCAGCGCATTAACGATCCCAACAACAATCGCAGGATTCGAGCTCAGGATTTTAGGTTTCATTCGCGAACGCAATCCAATGGTTCCAGGTTTTCCATAGTGGTCTAGTTTCAATCGAATAATGAACTCAATTATTAAATTACTACAATCTCCACAACAACCCATATACCTGTAATTTTTTTTAATTATTACTGTTTTCAGGCTATGTGCAACTTTAATAATATTTATAATGATAAAATAAGGTATTCGTACTATCCTAATGAATCGAAAAGAAAAGTGTATTTCTAATGTTTCACTGTTTATTCGTATTCATAGTTTAAAAAGGGTTGTTTTAATCCGTTTATTTATTTTCTGAAGAACTAACGTATACTAAACACTGAATCCAATTCTCTTCTCATAGGTTTAGTGAAATATACTTTTTTTCATTATCATTAACAATATACTAAATAGTCAATTCATTTGAAATGTTTAAGTTAAACCTTGGTAGATTTTATCGCAGTGTGTGCTACCTGTTCCTATCTTCTAGATATTTCAACAAGTTATCTAATTTTGTTTGTTTTAATACATCATTATGCTTATTGATCGCACAACCTATTACGGTGTGTTTCTGAAAAGTGTACAACCTTTCGATGTAAAGGTTACAGAAGGCCTAACCAGAGATATCGTGGTTGCAATATGGTTGGCAATATGCAGCGAGAAGAATGTACATTATCCAGATGTCGATTGACTTGGCTACTAACTTCTAACTGGCGATCACTCAATATTTATCCTCGGGAAGCACGAAGAAGTAAGAAACGGAAACTTGTTGAAGTACTTAATGCTGAGAATTCTATATTGTACCAAAAATATAATATTGAATAAAGCTAATAGTAATTAATTAATTTATATTTGCCGATAAAAGTAGTATGTAACACCATTCGGAATTGTAATGTCTGTGAGAAGAAGGTTGATAAGATTGAAATGAAGAGAAGAGAGAAGGAAACTGAAAGCAATCAAGATAACAACATGAATGAAGGAACAATAGAGCTTGTAAATTATAATTCAAAGATGTGTAAATGATGCGCTTGAAGTGTGATATTCACATTTTACTAAACCACTGTATGATTGTGTAGTATATAATAAATTGGTTTTCCCCACCTAAGTATTCATTCAAGGCACAATCAAAAAGAATTATACAAAACACACACAACTTTGTACAATACCCCTAGTATTGTTTGTTTGAATCTTCCCATTGATGTTTAGGACTGAAACTCTTCAGTCTCTTATTGGCATATGTGTATACTGTGAGTTATGCCTCAATATAGCCTTAATTCACAAGCATTGTAAGAAAAGATGGATAGTGGCTAACAGTGGAATCCAGGAATTGCCCTATTTGGGACTCGTCAGTTGGATGTACCTGCATGATGTTGATGTTCACTCTGGAACTCGAACCAAGTACCTTTCGCTTCAAACACCATCGCGTTATCCGCTCGACCACTGAGTCCTGATAGCCACTTGCTTGTGCAATGGGGTGAAGTTTAAATTCACTTAGTATTGTTTGTTTGATTCTTCCCATCGATGTGTTTAGGATTGCAACTGGTCAGTCTCTAATTGTCATATAGAACGAAACGCGCTTCCTGGATTTCATTCCTAGCCACTATCCATCTTTGCTGACAATGTTTGTACAATACCGTTACGATATTTTGAAGAATATTGAATTGTTTTTTCCATGTTAAATATTGTATACCAAGATATATTTATGAATAAGTTCGGTAAAAGCTTAAAACCATCGGATATTTAAAAACTCTTTTAAAAACGCTTTTATTGAGTATATCGATAATTGAAACTCATATATAACACTTCCACGGTTGGTTGTTAAAATAAACAAATTGAAGGTTTATTTGATACTTGAAGTAAAATAAAATGAATTCATACACCTTCTTACTTATAGTAAAGAAAAAAAAATGACATAAAAACATACAGAAGCTTAATGAATTAAAAACAATGAGAGCTTTTCAGAAAAACCAAAGGTTATGTGAAAAAAATACAAACAAAAAATTATTTAACATCATTACCAGAATCTGAGTTACCTTACGAGGATTATATCATTTACATTAAAATAAACGAAAATCAAGTATAATTAATCAATATGAATATTAATATAAAAATAATAGTTTAGAAATAATATAATAATTATATATAGTTGAGATCATGATTCAATTGAAGCTAGACCGCCATGGAAAACCTGGAAGCATTGGACAGCCGTTTCGACCCATTGTTTGACTCACTCTTGAGCAGTGCGCATACGTGATCCCACCTCGCGAGATTTAAACCCAGGACGTATCAGTCTCACGTGCGAGCATTTAACCGATAGACCACTTAACCGGCTGGTATCCAACGGTGTTAATGTCTAATTTCAATTGACTCATGATCTCATCTATATGTAATTATTAAAATCTTCACCAAACCCCCTTTCTGATAATACAATAAATAAAAACTTACCTTTTGTAATACTTTTGGATATATACAATAAGAAATAAAGTTGATTAGCTGTTCTAATGTATTTTGTTCATTTGAATGATATGAATTATATATATCTTGTATTTGTACATATTGTCCACAATCAAAATAGATACGTAATCTTTAAATAAATAAACAAAAAAAGAGAGATTTCTAATGAAGTACTAATCATCATATTTATCGGTTCTAATCTAAATTTCGATAGTATAAGAAGAAGAAGACAAAGATTATCAGAACTATGATATATATTAGCGTAATACATTGGTACAGTGAGATTTACTATAACCTTGGCGGAAAAAAGACTGTCTACATCACCTTACCATTTACAGGTGATTCAAATAGCCATTTATTGAAACAAAGGCTTAAATCAGTCATTAACAAAACATATTGTGCATCAAAGGTCATTAACAAAGGAACAACAAGGTTCATGCTTCACGCAAAACCTAAAAGACATGAAAACGATTGTGTCACATAGCACTGTGTTTACCAATTTAAGTGTCTATGTGGTCACACATACATAGGCAGTAGTGATATGGCTCAAAAATCGTTTGCAACTGTGAAGATACATCCACTCTTTGTGTTCTACCAAATTCTAATCTTCTGAATTCTTCATGTCTTTATCATTTTTCTCTTTCCAAATTTATTTCACTAGATTATACTCATTAAATAACATCTTCAAACCCTAATCTTTCGGATTACTGCTTATAATCTTATTACTTCTACCACGATGGGATTTGAATCAACAAAAGAATCTCTGTGGTATGGCAACTCGAACTGATGTACGTACGTACGAAGTTCTACGTTGTGAGTGACTGACTGACATAGGGAGGAGCAATCATGATCTCACAATTAGGGTGTGTGATCATGTACCAAAATGGTTGCAGAAACAATTAAAATCAGATGATGCAATAAGAGTAGAGGATAAACATCATCCTCTATTGTTAAACACATAATTGAAACAGGTCATAAGATTGATGTTAACTCGGCTTTCGTGGTGTTGTACAAAAGTGTAAAAGGGCATATACTAAGGTATATGGAAGCCTTATACATACGAATATTCAGACCCCCTTTGTGTATTGAACAACAGTTTGTTCTTACCTTAAACCTACCCTAGTGTTATTAGTGTATTATCCACAATGATCAGGTTTCAAATTGCTTTCACATTATTTTCTCTATTATCTTTGTCTCCTTTTACCCTCCATTTCTGGTCTAGTTAACCTTTTATCTTTATTATCAATACTGTTATTATTAGTTTTATATATAAATGTTCTTAACAAGTATATGTGTGATCAGATTGTTCGAAATGTATTGCGCTAATATATCACATATATCTGATAATCTTTGTCATTTTATTACACCATGGAAATTTATCAAAGGGACTAACTGCTTTAAATTTCTTAAAAGAACACTCCCGGTACATTCTAATCTAAAATTCTTTAATGTTCGTGTAAGACTATTTCGTTTTTAGAAATGATAATAGTGTAATAAGCAAATGACTGATTACATTTCAATCTTGAATATTAACAATGAGATAATTCAAGCTCTTACTAATAGTGTTATAGACAGTACAGATGTTGAGTAACTTAGTTGATATCTGGATACAATAACCTAATGCATAAGTAGTTGCTGTTTAAAATGGGAAATATTGAATTTGAATTATACTGTGAACATAAACACTAGGATGAAAGTACATCTACCTGACAAGTTTTATCAAATAAGCAGTCAGTAAAATAAATTTAATCGGGAAAGCAACTTAGAGATTACTATCAATGAAGAATGTTATGGTTTGTATCAGCCGGAATAACAGAAGTACAGATAGACTGAATTTTTAACCATATTGTTAGTAATGGTTCGATAATTCAAACAACGAACTAATTAAATATATAAGAACTCTCGTCTAAATTAGAGCGAATAGTTTCACAGTATTTGAACTAATTAAATATTTGAAATAAAATTTCTACTTCCATTTCAACCGAAATTTACTAATACTTCACAATGCCTTTCACCATCCCTGGAAACATGTTATCTTTCTGTTGGATTGATTAATTTTACAAAGAGTACATCATCGGTTTAAGGTCTTAGTTCATTACTCAATAATTACTAAACTACTCAACTGGGTAATACTCCTAGAAGTTATGTATTTACTCCGTATGCAAGAATATCAGTTGAAGAAATGTTATTTCATGTGATTTCATATAACCTCTTGTAATATACTGTTGTATCCCGTGGAGAATTATGAATGGTAACTTCAAGGATTGTTTATGGACCAATACGATATGTATATTTCCTACCATATAATTTTTAGTAACTAAACTATACTCATTCGTGTCCTTATTATAAGCTTTATATCGACCTATGGATTATTATTATACGATTTACCATTCTTGAGTTATTCTTAGTCTATTAATTACTGTTCCCCCTATTCACAGCCACATTTAGCTAAATCTTGTACAAATAATATTTTCTATTTTATGGTACGATGTAGTCAGTTTGATTGGTATATACACCCAGTATGTTTAAGAATAATGATTCATATCACAGAGGCCGTTATGGGTGTTTTGGACTTAACTGACTGGGCTAGGCAGAAGGCAGGGCCGATACGCACTCTTGACTGCTCGTACGGTTTTCGTGTGTCACTATTCCAATCGATAATTCGCTGCTCTCTGTTTGGCCTGCCTAATTTCCACTTCCAGCTAAAGAGGAAATTAGGAAAAGATATTGGAAGTGGATCGGACATACATTAAGGAAATCACCAAACTGCATCACGAGGCAAGCGCTAACTTGGAATCCTGAATTGAAGCGGAAAAGAGAAAAGCCAAAGAACACATTACATCGGAAAATAGAAGCAGATATGAAAAGGATGAATGTTAAATGGAAAGAACTGGAAACGATTGCCCAGGACACAGTTGAATGAAGAATGCTGGTGGGCGGCCTTTGCTCCTCCACAAGGGGTAACAGGCGTAAGTAAGTAAGTCTGATTGGCGTTTTTATCACGCTCATATATAAAACAGGGCACACACACTACCATACGTTCTAACATATACATAGCAATTTACAATTTAAATCCAAAAACAACTTACACTTTTCTATTATGTTCAAATAAACAACCAAATATTGAATTCAATGGAATAGCTAACAAAATTTTATTGGCTAAAGCTGTTGATATAGTATATGGTGCAAATATTACTAACCAATTTCGATTAATACCAATTTGAGTTTCAAAATAATGATTATTAGATGAATATCTATGTACAGAATCATCGGTTGAATATATATTACTATTATTATTATTAGTAGTAGTAGTACTACTATTATTATTATTCATTAATAATGTATTAGGTAATAATTCCATTACTGAATGCCATCCATCTAATTTTTGCCATTTTTTTAAACCAACATATAAACATTGACCAAAATCAAATAAATTATGAAATGTATTTGATAGATGTATGTATTCATTTTTATTTAATTTAAATATATCCGAATGATTACGTTTAACACGTTGATTTATTTTATATAAATCATCAAATGATTTAAGATTTTGATTATGAAATGGGATTATTCTATCAAAATGATATTTTATTGGCAGAGATTCATGTTCTATTGATGAAGTTACATGGATACGAAATTTAATTGAATTTTTTAATTGTTTTAATTTATCTTGTGAATGTCTTCTATATAAATTTATTTTACCTGAAATGAAAACAATTAAAAAAAAAAGAGAAAAGAAAACATTTTATGAATATCAATGATAAGTTCTTTTATTTTTCAAACCCAGGACCTACCAGTCTTGCGCCAAGGCAGTTAATGGATAGACTACTGAGCTGGAATCCGATGGTGTTTATGTCCAACTTCAACCAATCCACGAAGTTGAACAACCGTGCAACTATTGTCTTCAGTGAGTTCCTATCTTACAACAAACGTGGTTTGAACTCCACTGGTCACTGTTTCTTAATAGAACTTCAGAAAATATCTCTTGAAATTAGTCACTTGGTGCGAAACTGGTAGGTCCTGGGTTCTAATCTCGCAAGGCGAGATCGTGTATGCGCACTGCTGAGAAGTGAGTCCTAAAATAGGACGAAACGACTGTTCAGTGCTTCCAGGTTATTTATGGTTGGCTAGCTTCAATTAACTCATGCTTCCAACTATGAAAATACTGAAATCACCACAAAATCCCTTCCATTATTTTTTGTTAGACATCAATAAAATCTAGAGAATTAGTATAAATTAGACAGTCTTGTAAAGAATGAAATTTCTCAATTTAGTGTATACTCACAGAAAACGTTGAATAAAAACTAAATCATGTTGAAAATCAAATAAAACTAAAGGTGCGGATGCCGTAAACATCTTTGTACGGCCAAGGGTCGGGACAGTCAGCTCTCTCTCTCGAAATGCTCTCACATGGTCACGCGGATAAAGCCGCTGACGAGGAAATTCTACTCATTGACTTTCCGAGGCATTATTGTTGTTTACGAAATTAAGAGGTTGGAAAGCGAATGTCTGGTGATTAAACTGGGCTGGTGAATATTGAGGATTCACTTAAAGGAGTTGGAAAATGCAGATTCCAAATCAATGGTCCACATGGATTCCAGGATCCTGAGGGAACAAGTGGTGTATGAACCAATTGTTGGTCGCCAGCTTCGTTGCCCCACTGCCTTGTGGATCAAACCTATAAGTAGAAGGCCGCATGTATGTCCCCCACCCGGGCAGCAACACAGTACACACAAAAATCATGTGACTTGTGTAGCGCATATATGTTCGGTACCTTTTTGTACCAATATTTATGTTCCAATAAATTTACGAGTATTTGTGTTTTTAAATTTATGTTTTATGAGGTTTCGTTGAACACTTGTGAAAAGTGTTTAAAAAAGATGAAATATTATTGAGATAATGAGTCCAAGTTATACTACCATTTAAAGTCTAGACGCACCGGATAACCATTTCATCTTAGCATGAATTTGCTTAACAGTGCATGTAAACGACTCCACTTCCAAGATTGGAACCCATAAACTCCGGCTTCGTGTGTAAATCCTTAATTTCTTCACCTTTGACTTAGGATCCAATGGTGTGTCTAACAATGGCTACCTATGTTCTCTGAGGAGGCGCATCTCATTACGCACTAAATAGTAAGGACACTATCTGTATCTGACTTGTATTAAACCATTTCATTTGTTGACAAAATATCTAATAATTATTATTCATAAATCTAACTTCAAGTTGGTGCTGTTATATTCATTCAACTTCACTGTATTAATAATAAAATATTATACATGGTATTCAGTGAAGTGTTATATATATACGTCTAATTAAAGACAATTTTTGTACAGTAGAATACTATATATAACGGAAATTAGTTGTAGTGACACTAGTTGCTTTCATACCCGTAATTATTCAAATGTTACAGCATAAAGATAACATTGTACGATCAAGGTGAGTAAATTCAGTAGATTTACAATTGATTTGTTTGTTAATGATCGATATTATGTACAATGCAACACATAAGACTAATGAAATCATGAACATGGTTGATGATGGCTAGCACTGGAATCCAGGAGGCGTGGTTCGTCCTATTTGAGATTTGTCAATTGGATGTACCTGCATCTCAAAATTGATGTTCACTCCGGGACTCGAACCCAGTTTCATTCGCTTCAAACGCTTTTGCGTCATCCACTTATCTACTGAGTTCAAATATACAATAAAGATTATTGTCAAGAGACAATTGAATGTTTCAATTGACTAAATATAATTTCTTCTTACCATGTTTTAAATTCTCATTTTCTGTATTAATCGTATGTTCATTACAAAATTGATGTAGATAGTCTCTTCTTGAACGTTGCATAATTTCACGAAATTTTGAATATTTCAATACAGCATAAGCTGCATTAATAGCTAAAAAAAATAGAAATTCATTGAGATAAAAAATAATTATTACAGATTAGATGTAATAATATTGTGGTGTATGCTACTTATGTTGACAAACCTAAGTAGTATGTAACATCAGTCAGAAGAGGAATACATAGAAGGAGAATGCTATGAAGGTCAACTTGAAGAAAACGAAAACGCAAATAGAAAGAAATTGTGACTTGGAAGAATCATCCAGAATGTAAAGGATAAATGATGGAATTTTGAAAGTGAAGTATTCAATGTATAGTTCTCATCTTTTTTTCAGTTCTTACGAAGCTGAAATCAGCTTGTTGTTGTTCATTACTTTAACATAAACAGTTATTGTAAGTAACTTACCTCAATCAATAAATTTCTACCTGTTTTGTTGAGTAGTCAGGAAGTTATCTTGTACAGTAGATGAATATTTCAGTTTATCTACTAACCTATACCGTTATTATATAATTGATAAACAAAATTTACAGTTGGTAGATTGAAAGTAGGTTGTAAAATGATACGTATAGTGAACATGATTAAAGTTTAAGCTTTCTTATAACAAATACTTTCTTTGTTAGTCAGGTACTATAAAATGTTGTATCAGAATGTAAACAGATTTTTATAGATTATAAACAGTTAAAACGATTGTAGATAATTACTGTAGCTTTGAACAGCGTGATTTTGTTTATAAACGGTACGTTTTGTTCATGTATATAGAGTTAAAATACATGTTTATGAATTGTTAATAACGTAGGTTGATAATAACGCTGATAACATAGTTTTGCATATGCCTGGCTTAAAAAAGTGAAATCCAATGAATCAAAGTCGTATTACAATAACCGATCGCTCAGTGTCATGTTATTTAGTATTTAGAACTGATTAAACTTTATAAGTCGGATTAGGCTATTCCCTCCAGTCTAAATGATTTAATAATGTAGTTAGCTTTGTTTGAAGGTAATTGAAATATATTAACTAGCATAAAACTTTGATCCTGGTGTTTATTCAGTGAAATACACTACGATAGTAAGTCACTCAATAGTACCAAGTACTAGTCATTTACCATATTTGTTTGAGTCTCACTGGAAGCCAGTTTCTAGTTGAGTTACATGTTGATAATGTCTGTGATTGTAAAACCAGATATTATGAGCTTGAACGTTACCAACAAACGATCATTCAAATAAACATCATTCTTACGAGGTAAATGTAAATAATAAGATGTTGTGTACACTAACGTTGGAGATATTTTCCTATAATATTGTTGGATTAACTCGGGAATCCGTAAACTAATATTTACACTGAAAGCAAAGTGATTTATAATATCTTAATAATCTATAGTTCAGGGACAGAAAAAACAGTAGAGTATAATATTTATAAATAATGTGAATATGGATAATGTGTAAAACATAACATCAGCGGCCTGCTTAAACATCTGGGCTACCTGTTTCCCGTCATCTATATATTTCAACAAGTTATCTAATATTGTTTGTTTTAATACATAATTATGGCTATTAAGCACACAACCTATTCCGGTGCGTTTCTGAAAACTGTACAACCTTTCGTTGTAAAGGTTACAAAAGGCCTAATCAGAGATGTCGTGTTTGCTGGGAACATGCAGCAAAAAGAATATACATTATTCATATGTCGATTGACTGAACTGCTGACATCCAACTGGCGATCACTGAATGTTTATCATCAGGAGCAACGAAGAAATAAGTAACGTAAACATGTTGAAATACCTTATGCTGAGAATTCGATTTTGTACCAAATAATATAATATTGAATAAAGCTAATAATAATAATAACATCCAATATACAGACTAAATATATCATCACTATTCTATGATCTGAAATTTATCATGTAATACTGTTGCGGAGACCTTGAAAATTTCTCGAAAAAAGACCCAGTGGGGCCCTGCAAATGCTGAGAAACATCTTACCCAATCAACATTCAACAAAATTTTACCAGAAATATTTAGAAAGTGAGAAGTCACATTTCTCATTGGATGATTATCTATTCTGTCACTATGTTTAGAAGGCTTCCAGGACTTTCCAGAAGCCCAAGGCCATCTAAAATGATGTAAATACCCTAGATTTTCTGTACATAAAAGAACCTTAGAGTAAAGTGTTCTTCTCATTTATTTCGCACCTTTTCTCTCATGTTGAAGTTGCCGTGTACATTTAGCTTGAGGGTTACTAGAAGAGCTTAAGAAACAGAATCAAGCGTTAAAATGAGAAAATTTATCAAATACATTCTGAGTTCAGTACGAATATTTGATCTATTTCTACATATTCTATCATGATACAACACAAAAATAGTTATTAACTGTAACAGGTATTCAATGTGACTTATTTATACATATTCATGCTTCTAAATCTTTAGGAGCTTACCCAATAGAAGATGATAGAAATGAATAACTTAAAACTGGCCTAACAATCATCTGTATTGTATATATATATATATATGTTTTGGTATATCCCAATGAGCAGAAAATTTGTATTTCTGATGTTTTGAAATTTAATGTAAGTCACTTCTTCAGAGTAAATAAATAACCGACAAGTAAATTTACAGAAGTTTAAATAGTACATTGGGAACAATTTAGAATACTCTGACACACAAATTAATACAGTGACAGGTCATACATATTCACTTTGATCAAGAAGAACTTGACATTGACATACTCAGACCTGTTATAATTTTGATTGTACCAAAACTATTCTGTATTGTTTGCTTTATACTATTTAAACCTGTGTTAGTTTAATGTCGGTTATTATTTACTCTGAAGAAGTAGCTTACACTAAATCACGAAATGTCAGAAATAAAATTTTCGAACTCATTGTGATATAACTAAAAAATGTATTTAGCATTAACTCTCCACCTAATGCTTAATTTATTTGAAATTATCAAGTTCAACCTTTTTGTTCACACCTATAACAATTATCTTCATTTCAAGTTGTTTACTTTCTCTGTGAAGAAATGAAATTACGTTATATTCTTTTTAAAACGTATATATAACAGTTAAAGTATAAAAAATGTATACACTAAGATGTATGATGGATAGCAGTGAAATTCAGAAGGTCTATTTCATCCTATTTCGGATAGGTCATCTGGATATACCTTCATCTCAAAGTTGATGTTTATTCGGAGGCTCGAACCCAGTTTCATTCGCTTCAAATGCCTTCGCGTCATCCACTTAGCGACTGAGTTCAAATATCCACTGGCTGGTGCGATAGAGTGAAGTTTGTTTGATTCTTTCCATTGATGTGGACATCAACTCTGGGATGTAGTTACATCCAGCTGGTGAGTCCCAAATAAGACGAAATGAGTATCCTGAATTACATTATTAATCTTAGCTTATAATGCAATATCGATGCAATCCGTACAGAATGCTCATATGTCAACGAGAAACTGATCAAATACGGTCCTCAACATCAATGGGAAGATTCAAACAATTAATACAAAAATGAATTGAGCTAATATACCTTGTTTATAAGTTATACTTGTAAATTCATTGCATGATCTCAAATATACAGATAACCGTCTATCAGATAACTACTATACATTATGTTACATTATTACAGTTTAATATCTAAATACCATTTGGACATGTAACTCTGTAAGGTGAATGTAATAACGTTATATCTGGAAGTACTATTTAATGTTTGATAAATTTGTGGGTTTGTTTTTTAAACTTCATAACATGTATCATTCCATTACCTGCAATTAAACCCTAGTTGCATCGACATCCTATGTTATTTTTTAATACATGTTGTAACCAGCTGCTATAGATTTTTTTTCTTGTTTATAGTTAGTTTTTAGTCAAGTTAATAAATAAATTGTTACTTACAAAAAAAAAATAAATAACTTCAGGTTGTATGTAACTAGTTTCTCCATAAAGTATTTGATCTAAATATTAAGTTATTAACTGTAAATAAAGGAACTTAATGAATTAATTAGGTTGAAAAGTCTAAAATGAAATATTTTATTTATCTGAAAAACATAAAGTACTGTGATTGATATAATTAAATATTGATTAATGAGGCGAATATGTAATCTGCCTCCAAATGCCTTGATACGGCCAAGAGTGGTGGGAGTAAGCTCTCCCTCTCGAAATGCCCTCATATGGCCACGCGTTTATAGTCTCTGCCAAGGAAGTCCTACTCAATGCTTTCTCGTGGCATTACTGTTGTTTACGAAAGTGAAAGCACGAAAAGTGAATGTCTGGCGCTTTAACCGGGTTGGTGGATACAAAGGATACACCTAAGGGGAGTTGGGAAACCCTGATTCCAAACCAATGATGCACATGGGCTCCAGGATCCTGAGGGAACGAATGGCGTATGAACCAGTCGTTGGTGACCGGCTACCATGGGACTGCATTTCCTCACGATGCTCCACTGCCTTGTGGATCAGACCTATAATAGAAGGCTCCAGGTGTGGCCCCTAAGAAAACCACCTGTTTCAGTTTGAAAACTCGGACAGTATCACAGCCCTCACACAAATCAAATGAGACTTGCATGGCGCATATATATCTGGTGCACCATTTTGCTAATATTTATGTGTTTTAATAATAATAATTAATAAGAACTACGTAATCTGAATTCACTAGCGAAAATTTCGAAAAAAACTATATGATGAAGATTGAACAATAGTAAAAACACTTGTCTGTGAATAACTCAATCATCTATTGATGGAATGAAAAACTCAATTAAATTATTTTCCAAGTTGTACTTTAAAACCTTCGTGTTTAGTAACTTACTACAAGATGAAACTTTTCAAATCGGAAAAGTTTCGATGTTATAAAACACATGAGATAAGAAACAAATAAAACACTTGTTCGAGTAAAAGTAATAATCATTCTAATATAAATGTAAACATACATAAGCAAAGGTGGATAATAGCTAGCAATGGAATCCAGGACGCACGTTTCGTTCTCTTTGGGACTTGTCAGCCGGATGTACCTGTATCTCAGAGTTGGTGTTCACACTGGGACTCAAACCCAGTACTGTTCACTTCAAGCTCCATCGCGTTATCCAACTAACTACTGAATCCTGATAGCCACTTGCTTGTACTGGGTTCGAGTCTCGGAGTGAACAGTTTACACTTCAAGAAATAATCTGGTTTTATAGATTTTGAAGAGTTCCATATTAAATGACTGAATATAAATTATTCCACTATTTGATAGAATATGTAACGTCAATTTCATACATACGTTTGTTATTAGTTCCTAAATGTTGTATTTTCCCAGTTATTTTGCATTGATATAACAAGGTTCTTGTTGATGTGTTAACATTACATAGACGTTATTTCAGAGATAATGTTTTCATATGACGACTCAGTCGCTGATCTCCTACCCGGAGATTCATCTATTGACTTTGAATACACATAACGTATTGAACATTCAAAGTAGGTTTCTTACGTAGGTCACCGTTATTTTATCATAGTTGTTTTTCAAGTCATTGCTCTCTCACGGTTGTTTCTGCTAGATTACTGGTCAAGAGTGACAAAAAGTATTGATCATGATGTGAATCGTTGTTGACTAAGGTAGTTGAAACACGTGTTATATCCACGTTTGCTCAATATTGGCTGAAGTATTAGGATGGTTTAAATAAACTAGGAGCAGCCGAAGCAAAAATAGCATCAGTCCATGAAGTTATCGTCTTTAGGGGCATTACATTACGGTAGAAATTCTGCTGATTCTTGTTAAATTTTTCAACTGAATAGAAACAGTCGATGAAAAAATCAGTCAATATTTTCATGATTGTACTAAAAAGCATAATAATTTTTTCTAAGATATTACGTTTATTTGTTTTGATTAGGGATCATTTTGATGAATGGACCATACAAACTCATGATTTATAAGGTGACTGAACAACTGAATGGTATATTCAGAAAACTACACGTTTTTGATTCATTGTTCATAAATAAGCAAGCGGTAAGCATGAAAGAATGATCGAAATTAGTAAAAAAGAAGCACAAAAAATATGGGATACACGCCAGTCAAAATTTAGGGAGTATAATTCATTTTTATATTGGTTACTTGAATCTTCCTGTTAACATTTGAGATTGCAATTGATCAGTCCAGGAGTGAATATCAACACTAGGTTGCTGGTATATCCAACTTATGAGTCCCGATTGGGACGAAATGCGCGTTCTGGATTACACTGTTAGTCACCATCCACCTCTGTTTAAAATGTTTAGAGAGTGTGTGCGGCCTGTCTAAACATCTTGGCTACCTGTTCCTGTCATCTAGATATTTCAACAAGTTATCTACTTTTGTTTATTTTAATATGCCATTATGGCTATTATTCACACAATCTATTCAAGTGCGTTACTGAAAAGTGTACAACATTTCTCTGCAAATATTACAAAACGTATAATCAGAGATATCGTGGTTGCTGGCAATATGCAGCTAAAAGAATATACATTATTCAGGTGTCGATTGACTCGGCTGTGAACTTTAATTGGCGGTCACTTAATTCTTATCGTCAGGATCGACCAAGATTTAAGAAACGGAAGCTTATTGAAATACTTTGTGCTTAAAATTCTATATCATATCAAAAATATATAATTGAATAAAGCTGACCATAGTAATACGTCAACAACGAGAAATCTCTAGTCCTTCAACTATCAAAACAGATATTATTCTAGAATTGTAGTACCATATGATCGTAAAAATGGTATTGTTGTGTAAATGTCACACTGTAACATAATCAAACATAATTCAGTAAATTCTTTCAATTTAATAAAAAATATGTAATGTGCTGAAAAGAACTTATAATAATCCATATTTATTATTATAGTTACCAATGATGTGTGAGGGGAGCATTACATTAACATTATCATATTCTTTATATGCTTCCTTTTAATTTAATCTTTTTCTAGCATACTAACTATTTTAACTTGACACATATGTCATAATCCCTCAAATAGTTTGGTAAAATATGACAGATACTTCATTAGTAAACTCATGAAAGTTTCTAGGTCTCTAGAATGAAAAAAAATATTTATTTTTAATGTTTTCGAGACAGCTATCGGTAAACTGAAACGTTTTAGTATAAACGTATAAATTTCGAACGAGTGTAAATTAATCTGTATTTGTGTTTGAAAAATATATAACACTGATTTAATGTATTGAATAGCACTGTATCAAATTACCAAACTGTATCACGAGACAAGCTCTAACTTGGAATCCTGAAGAGAAAAGAAAAAAAACGAGGACTACAACAAGGACTACATATTGAGTCGGAAGTTGGAGGTAGAGATGGAAAGGATGAATAGTAACTGGGAACAACTGGGAAAGATTGTCCAGGAAAGTGTTCGATGGAGAATCCTAGTAGGCGGTCTACACGAGGAGTAACAAGCATAAGTAAGAAAGGTAAATAACAACACTGTATCGTATCCTTTTAACATAATTGTAAATGAAAATATTTTAAAAACACTTTATAAAACTACAAATCGGTGTCAGAATAATGATTATAAATATTGCATAAGTTATGATTATGCAATATACAACTTTCACAGTTATTTCCTAATTTTAAATCTTTGTGTTGTCACCTAGTAATTCATGATTATTCATTTTCAGTGACTTTTTTCAAAAGATATTCATTTTATATAGTTGAGATCATGAGTCAGTTGAAGCTAGACCACCATGGAAAACCTGGAAGCACTGAACGGCAATTTCGTCCTATTGTGGGACTGCTTAGCAGTGCGCATCTACGATTCCACTTCGCAAGATTCGAACCAAGGATCTGCTAGTCTCGCGCGCTAGCGCTTAAACTCTAGATCACTTAACCGGCATCCATTTTATTTAAAAAGATTTTTGGGTATTTTTAAAATTCTGTTTTTATATTTTTTAGATAAAGTTATTTTATGTGATAGTTTAAATGGAGTCGTATCATTGTTTTGATCAAGTCATGTGATTGACGTGATAAAATTGGGATTAATGTTGGTATTTTATTTCCTATATTGACCTAAGAAGTAAGGACGGTACTCTACTAGGTTCCTAAGAATAATAATAATAGAAGGATGCTTAGTGAAACCATATTTCATAGTGGGTTATAGAGAATCAGAGAGATGATAAGATATATATATATATATATATTGAAGAGTAATATAGATTATAGATACAACTAGAGTTTTTCAACAAAGCTTATACAATCGAATCTAAAATACATTGAGTCTATAAATGCCTAAAAAAACACGAAGTTAGTTACTTGTCAGTGGAAAAATATGTCTTAGACGAGCAAGGGACGTAATTCTATAGGACTATTCGGTCATGAATGAGTAACCAACCAATAAATTACTTAAACCTTGCGCAATCACAGGGTAAAACATTAGGTGATTAAATCTTTAAAGATATATATAAACTAGTTACTTATCGATGCACCTCAAAAATCTAGGAACATAATATTATAGTCGAACGATAGCCTCCTGCAAGCAATTCTAGCAGCAACAGTCTGAATTGAAAAAAAGAAATATGATAGAATACACAAAGGAAGCGATTGAGTAAAACTAAATTATGAGGGTCAGTGAAAACTAAATAACGAAAGTGATATATCAAAAAGACAGAAATTGTATATAAAATAAATCATAAGAGTTTCATGTGAAACGAGATAGAAAAAGAACACATAAATGAAAGTATTGAGGATAACAACTATACATATAAGGGCTAGGCAAACAGTTATTGTTGAATAAACTGTATACATAGAGCAATAATTACACATTGAAATAGAAAAATGATCTTACAATAGTAAAGTATCGTTCTTATTTAACTGTGAATGATGTTTTATATCCCCTTTTTTTATTCAAGTTCCTTATACCAATAAAACAGAATTTCGTGAATACCGAAAAATTAGCGTTTATAGAAAAAAAACTGGGTCTTGCAAAAGTAATGACCTGTAATTCAATAACTCAATACTAGTTAATTAGCCGAAGTACAATTAATAACTAACTAGATGAAGAAAGGGAGTAGTTAAGTTGATCTATAGTTTGTTATTAATAAGGCTACCACTGTATTCTTAATTAAAGCGTTCAATGTTAGATTACCTTTAGTTAATAAAAGATTGCCGAACGATAGATTATGTTCAAATAAATAATCACTTGATATAATTGGTCCAAATTGTGGTACATCTTTTGCTCGACAAACAGCTACACTGTTTGATTTAATATAAAAAGGGGAAAAGAAAACACAAACAGGAATTATTCGAAATCATTTCTCCACACATTACATTTGTCAAAATAATAGGTAACAGTAGCCAGTGGAATCAGAGATACATTGATTATCAGTATAGGGTTGTGGAGATTGTTGAGTTTTAAATGAGATCATGAACTGAACATTGTTAGAACATCATTGAAAACCTGGAAGCACTGGATGGCCACTTTAGATAATTTACACACTATGAAATTTTTTAAAATGAGACAGGTGAACTTTAATATTTTCAATCAACGATCTCTGGAAGATATGAAAAGTGTTGGCTTGGCTTTGTAAGATATTGTAGTTAAGCAAATCTAAGAAGTTTGGAACTAAGAAGAAACAGTTATCAAGCGTCTACTCGTTTTTCAGTTATTCTTTAATTGATTTGTTTTTATTACAAAAGGCCATTACCATTATTGTTGAGCAACTATTAAGTTCATTTACAACTGCTTTATTGAAAATTAAAGATATTTAATCTTTTCATATATGAATGGTAACTCCATATTACAGATCTAATTTTCTATGACGATCATTAATCACATACACATGATCATTGCCAAAGGTTAATGAGAAATATTACATAAAAACTATATGGACAAATTCTATGATAGAATTAGTGAACTAATATTGAATACCTTATTTCAAATATTAGAAATTATCTGATTAATTAATTATCAATGTTTTACCTGACTCTCTGTAAATATTTTTTGATATTTTAAAGATTTTCAAGCTTATTCTTGTTTATAACATTTTAAAGAAAAAATTCTGGTTACCGTTTTTCTAGCGAGTTAGTTTTCTACGGGACGAGGTCGCTAACTTCATGCTCAACCCTCATCCGTTATCCGAGCTTGGGACCGACAGTAGCCCCCGGATAAGCTAGAGGTGGATAACTACAAAGGGCATCATCCAAAAGATACAGATGTTTATCAACAATCTTCGAATCAACAATACTTCGAATCCGTTGGCCATACACTATCAGCAACATTCTACTGTGTGAAAGAATAAACCAGATTTCAAAGGAGGAAGAAATCAGGAAGAAGCGCTGGAAGTGGATAGGACAAACATTGAGGAAAGCAACCAACTGCATCACAAGTCAAACCCTAACATGGAATCCTGAAGGTCAAAGGAAATTGGAAGACCAAAGAACACATTACACTGAGAAATGGAGACAGACGTGAGAAGAATGAACAACAACTGGATAGAACTAGAAAGGAAGGCCCAGGACAGATTGTGTTGGAAAATGCTGATCGACGGCCTATGCTCCATTGGGAGTAACAGGCGTAAGTAAGTAAGTAAAGAGTAAATCCAATCTGACAATATTTTTTTAATTGTCGAATTCTGTTAAATTTTACGTTGAAGAGTTACACCAAACCATATCATGATCTAACATTATTCACTTTAACTTCTATCGAACACAGGTATGAAAATTGAAAATACTCCTACGAATAAGCTTTTTCTTAATTAACTAGTCTTCAATGCATAAAACAGTAAACATATAGTATTGTGTTAGGTCTTTTATTATGTTTCGATTATTTGTGACTTCTATGTAATTAATTATCGTTATATTTAAAGAAAACTGTTGAGACAATATCTAATATAGATTTATGTGTCATAGTAGAATATTAATTATACACGTACATATATATTAAATTGTTTATTATGGTCAGCGTTTTTTAGTAAGATTGTTTCCTACGGGATGGATTGGCAAACCCTATGTCTGACCATACATATTTACCTGGGCTTGGGACTTCCAGTAACCCTAGGAAAGTTGCAGCCGGAGAACACTAACCCAATCACACTTGATGGAGAACCTCTGGAAGAGGTGAAACGTTTCACGTACCTTAACAGCATAATCAATGAAGGTGGAGGATCTGATTCAGACACAAAGGCGAGGATTAGAAAAGCAAGGACAGTATTCCTACAAATGAACAACATATGCAACTCAAAACAACTGTCAACAAACTTCAAGATGAGAATCTTCAATACGAGCGTCAAAACAGTCCTTCTGTACGCAGCTGAAACTTGCAGATCTACTACAACCATCATCAAAATGGCACAAGTATTTATGAACAATTGTCTACGTAAGATACTATCCGTTGGCCGGATACTATCAACAATAACATAATGTGGGAAAAAACAAACCAGCTTCCAGCTGAGGAAGAAATCAGGAAAAAACATTGGAAGTGGATAGAACACACGAGACAAGTGCTAACTTCGGATTGTGAAGAGAAACGGAAAAGTAGGACGAAGAACACACTGCGTTGGGAACTAGAAGCGGACATAAAAAGGATGAATAAAAAGTGGAACGACTTGGAAAGGATTGTGCAGGACAGAGTTGGATGGAGAATGCTGGTGGGCGGGATATGTTATACCACGAGGCGTAAAAGGCGTATGTAATATATTTGTATATATATAAAGTACATATAACATACTTATGTAATTAAACTTACCGATAACCAAATTTATAATCATTCTTATCATCAATATCATTATTTAAACGAATGTATTTGACTAAAATGAATACTTTTTGAAATCCTGAAATTATTGTATCCGGTTGAAATGGCATAGCATCTTCTTCAACAAATATAAATGTGACAGATGAATTACCAATATGTCGTTTTCTAGCTAACTATATATAAACAAAATTATTTATTAGAAATGGAAAAAAAAAAACTGACATACATACATACTATTTGGAATTGAATGTGATAAACAAATAAATAAACAATTTTTAATATACAAGTTGCTATGGATTACCAGCCATTCGAGCCGTAATACGAGGACTGAATGAAAAGCTTTTATCGGCTAACCAAGTCAAAAGTGTGATAATAACTAAATCAGTCAATAGGTAGTTAGGTATAGACTACACTTTAAGTATAAGGGATAACAGTACTACCTGGGTACTCCAAATTGAAGTATGTGAATCTGAATTTCAACATGGGACTTGATGGCTGAAAGTAGAACGCTGTAACTAATAAGCCACTGCTCATCTATAAATATAGATATATGTTCCTCAGAAAATAAAACAATATTTTCAAGTAATATTACACTAACTCCGCCTGTAGCTCCTATGGGGGCTACTGCCTGTCCCAAGCCCAGGTAAAGGAGGAGGGTTGAGCATGTGGTTAGCGACACCATCCTGTAGAAATCCAATTCCCTAAAAAAACGCCAACCAGAAGAAGAATGAACAAAAAACGGATAGAACTAGAAAAGAAGGCCAAGGACAGAGTGGGTTGGAGAAAGCTGGTCGGCGGCCTATGCTCCATTGAGAGTAACAGGCGTAAGTAAGTAAGTAAGTAATATTACACTACAATTTCTGTAAAAAGCTAGGCCAAATGTCAACAAATAGCGTGGGCCCTTCATCATCTGTTGTTTATGATTTGACTTAAGCTTGATTGACCTAGCGCATCTACTTAGGATGTTCTAAACTTATACTCTAGTATGATGGATTTTCCATATTTCAATTTTTTCAGTCATTAATATTACAGATTCAATAAAAGTGAAACCATTACTGACTTTCAATTTGATAGAATAATTAACTTCACGTTTAATCTTGAATTGTGAATTAAAAAATAAAATAAAGAGTTCAACTTTTTTACAAATAGTTATTTTTATTACCTGTTCTGTTTTATTAGGTTCATATGGTAGAAGTGTAGATACAAGGAATACAATATTTGTTCCACGAAATTCAGTAACATATGTCTCTAATCCAGTTGAGTCATCTAAATAAGTAGATAGAATTACGTTTTATAAAAAACACCGTGTACTTAGATACATGTTCAAACATATATATGTATAATATAGAATACTATGGTTTTGACTTAACAACTAAAATGCAACTATGCGAAAATGTTTACTTATTGATTGATTTTTATTTTAAGTGTTATTTTCTTTAGTTTATGATATGGATACTTTAGTTTCTTTACACTGAACATTCTCTTTTTACTTAAGCATTTATTCATTTTGTAGCTTAAAGCGTAACTCTAATTATTAGTAGGTCCTGATTCTATATACACCCAAATGCCCTGGTACGGCCGAGAGTGTAGAGAGTCCGCTCTCCCTCTCCAAATGCTCTCACATGGCCACGCGAATATATAGCCTCTGACAGGGAAGTCCTACTCACTGCCTTCTCATGCCATTACTGTTGTTTGCAAAATTAGGAGGACGAAAAGCGAATGTCTGGCGCTCTAACCGGGTTGGTGGACACGGAAAGTTCACCTAGGGGAGTTGGAAAACCTTGATTCCAAACCAATGGTGCGCATGGGCTCCAGTATCGTGAAGGAACAAATGGCGTACAAACCAATCGTTGATCACCGGTCACCATGGGACTGCATCTCCTCACGATGCTCCACTGCCTTGTGGATCAGACCTTTAGGTCAAAGCCTCCGGGTGTGACCCCCTAAGAAAACCACCTGCTTCAGTTTGGGCACCTGGGCAGTATCACAGCTCTCACACAAATCAAATGAGATGTGTGTGGCGCATATTTATCTGGTGCTTCCTTGTACCAATATTTATGTGTTTAAATAAAAAATAAAAAAGTTCCTGATTCTCTATAATGAAGCAGTTATATCATTACCAGATTCTTAACCTTATAAATTGATTATTATGTTGTATTGTATTATATTTCCTTCAAAGAAGGTCAAAATGAATCATAAAATTTAGTCTTATAAATTGAAAATAACACATTGAGCCTAGAGATTGAATAGTATGGAGATATAATGAAAGAAAGTTACTCACACATTACTTATGTTTTAAATAACAATCAGTCATCCACTTGAATCTCGTGGGACTTTTTCTAAATCGACAAGATTTTCAATAGCAGTTCAATTACACTGTTTAATGTAATCAAGAATAAATTATTTCAATAGTTGAGATCATGAGTCAAGTGAGGCTAGACCAACATGGAAAACCTGGAAGCACAGGATGGTCGTTTCGCCCTATTTTGGGACTCCTCAGCAGTGCGCATCCATGATCCCACCTCGCGAGATTTGAACCCATAACCTATCAGTCTCGCGCGCGAGATTAATCGGAAATTCTCTCTTCACCATCATTGAATACATTCGAATTCAACAAGTTATGAATAATGTACTAGCTTGAACAATACAAACTTATTAAGTCAATATGTAGCCTTCAGAATTTTTTCAGGAAAAAATGTGCTTTCAAAGTAGAAAAGTCCAATTAATCGCTGTTTTTAAACCAAGAGATAATCAAAACTTTCTTTGTCTACTTATAATTGTGTGGAATAGCATGCTATTTAGATCTTCGGTAATATAATCTTTTTCCTCTCATTAAGTGTATCAGTACTGTGAAGAGGAGTGACATTTTCATTATATTTATTTGAAGATATCCACTTTTGTTTCCTGTGAACACGCCACTGTCAAAAATTCCAATTTAACAGATCGAAAAAAGGAAACAAAATGAAAGTTGTAGGTTTAAATGAAATCCTCATAGAAAGTTATATTCTTACAATCAGTATTCATTCACTCGTTGAAAGGAAAAATGATAAATATTGCACGCTTATTAAATATTAGGAAATGGATGAGCTATAAACTAACGGATGCGTATCCTATACTACTAATAGCGACATCAAAAGTTATTTTTAGTAATATATATATATATAATTTTAATGTCAGCTGAAACTCAGTTTTGTAGAGCTTGACAGTCCTATTTTATTGCAATTCTCTAACTATTTGTGAGTAATTATCAGTATTTATTTTAGAAAATAATTTCTCTATAGTAACCTTAGTTTTGCATACATAACCGGATGTTAAATGAAACCTTTAAAATAAATGGATCATAGTTGAACATTTTTTTATGTTTATAACTATACAAATACCAAATTTATTATTGTATCACTAGCAGCTGAAAATTTTCTAAAAAAGCCTTTTCCTTTAATAAACTTACTTACTTACTTACGCCTGTTACTCCCAATGGAGCATAGACCGCCGACCAGCATTCTCCAACCCACTCTGTCCTGGGCCTTCTTTTCTAGTTCTATCCAGTTCTTGTTCATTCTTCTCATTGTCTGTCTCTATTTCTCGGCGTAATGTGTTCTTTGGTCTTCCTCTTCTCTTCTGACCTTCACGATTCCATGTGTGCCCTATCCACTTCCAGCGCTTCTTCCTGATTTCTTCCTCCGCTGGAATCTGGTTTGTTGTCTCCCACAGTAACTTGTTGCTGATAGTGTCTGGCCATCGGATCCGAAGTATCTTGCGTAGACAACTGCTAATAAACACTTGTATCTTCTGGATAATGGCTTTCGTAGTTCTCCACGTCTCCGTCCCATACAATAGAACTGTTTTGACATTTGTATTGAAAATTCTAACCTTGGTGTTGGTTGACAATTGTTTTGAGCTCCAGATGTTTTTCAGCTGTAGGTATGCTGCTCTTGCTTTGCCGATCCTCGCCCTCACATCTGCATCTGATCCACCGTGTTCATCAATGATGCTGCCCAGATATGTAAAGGTTTCCACATCCTCCAAAGCTTCTTCGTCAAGTGTAATTTGATTGGTGCATATTGTATTGTATCGGAGAGTCTTGCTTTTCCCTTTGTTTATATTTCTTTATATTCCTTTAATAAAGCTTATAATAAATTAGATTATTTTAATTGAGATCGTGAACCGATCAATGTTAAACCGTCAATGGAAATCAGGAGGTACTGGACGGCCGTTTCATCCTAGTATGCTATGCACCCACTAATGATAGCAATGATCACGATAAAGATCAGTTCTACGAGAGACTCCAGTCGATCATAGCGAAGTGCCCAGAAAAGAACCTGACAATCCTGACAGAAGATCTAAACCCCAAAGTTGGGATGGATAACAACGTTTATGAAAATATCATAGGATGACATGGACTGACTAGGCGGAAGGAACAAGAGTGGTGAGAGAATTTCGAACCTATGTACATTCAACAGATTGGTTATAGGCGTCACAATATTCCCACACAAACCTATACACAAAGCTACATGAGTCTAATCGGATCACACTAGACAGAACCAGATCGATCATATTTGAATAACTAGAAATTTTCGAAGGTCAATGAAAGATATGAGAACCAGGAGAGGAGCTGACATACGATCAGATGAGACTGAAGCTTAAGAAACACTGACAACTGGAGAAACAGCATTACACAAGTTCAATACAGCCTTCCTTCGAAATGCTAAAAAACTCAACTAATTCAAGATAACTCTCAAGAACAAGTTCCAAGCTTTACAAGATCTAATGAAAGAACAAAAAACTACGATGGATGACAACTGGAAAGAGACCAAAGGAGAATTAACTTCAACGTGCCAGGAGGTTCTGGGTTCTAAGAAGCATCATCATAAGGAATGAATCTCTTTGGGAACCCTGAACAAGATTCGAGAAAGGAAGAACAAAAATACAGCAATTAACATCAGCCGAACACGAGCAGAGAAAGTCAAAGCACAAGCACATACCCAAAATCAAACAAGGAAGTGAAGATGAGCATCATAGCCGACAAGCAGAAATACATGGGAGAACTAGCAACGACGGCGGAAAAAGCTGCAAGAGAAGGGAATATGAAACAAGTATATGACACAACGAAGAAATTGGCAGGGAGATATAGCAAACCAGAGAGACCAGTCAAGGACAAAGAAGGAAAGACAATCACTGAGATTCAAGAACAGAGGAAAAGATGGGCAGAATACTTCGAGGAACTGCTGAATAGACCAGCCCCATTGAACCCACCGAACATCGAAGCAGCCCACACTGACCTTCCAATAGATGTCACTCCACCAACGATCGAAGAAGTCAAGATGGCCATCAGACAAATCAAAAGTGGGAAGGCGGCAGGACCTGACAATATACCAGCAGATACACTGAAGTCAGACATTGAAATAACTGCAAACATGCTTCACCTTCTATTCAAAAAGATTTGGGAAGAGGAACAAGTGCCAACGGACTGGAAAGAAGGATATCTCATCAAGATACCAAAGAAAGGAGATCTGAGCAAATGCGAGAACTACAGAGGTATCAGTTTGTTATCAGTACCAGGAAAAGTTTTCAACAGAGTGCTGCTGAATCGGATGAAAGACGCAGTAGACGCCGAACTAAGGGATCATCAGGCTGGATTCCGTAAGGATCGGTCGTGCACAGACCAGATTGCGACACTACGGATCATCTTTAAACAATCAATTAAATGGAACTCGTCACTATATATCAACTTCACTGACTTAGAGAAAGCATTTGACAGTGTGGACCGGAGAACATTATGGAACCTTTTTCGACATGATGGAATGAATAGCTGAGGAAATCGTCAACATAATCCGGAATTCATACGACGGACTACACTGTAAAGTCGTGTATGTAGGACAGCTGACGGATGCATTCAAAGTGAAGACGGGAGTCAGACGAGGCTGTCCCTACTTTCTCTTTCTTCTGGTGGTTGAATGGATTATGAAAACCTCGACATCTGAAGGGAAGCACAGAATACAATGGACAGCTGTAAATCAACTATTTGATTGGAACTTCTCAAATGACCTAGCCCTTCCATATCAAACTCATCAACACATGTAGGTCAAGATAACAAGTGTAGCAGCAGCCTCTGCATCAGTAGGCCTCAACGTACACAAGGGAAAAAGCAAAATCCTAAAATATAACACGGAGAATACCAATACAATCACAATTGATGGAGAAACTGTGGAAGAGTTGTAACGTTTCACGTACCTAGTCAGCATAATCGATCAACGTGGAGAATCTGATGAAGATGTAAGGGCGAGGATTGGCAAAGCAAGGACCGCATCAACTTTGTGATGCAGATACATCCAGCTGACAGGTCCCAAAGAAGACGAAACGCGCGTCCTGGATTTCGATGCTAGCTACTATTCATCTGTGCTTATAGAGCTTGTAATTTAAGGCAATATTGAAGCAATCCGCACAGTATACACATATACCAACAAGAGACTGATCAATTGCATTGCTAAACAACCATAGGGAGATACAAGCAAGTAATACAAAGTGAATTTGGGTTTTCGTATGTCTAATATTTGGTATTTCGGTAAATTATTTAGTTGAGATGACCATTTGAATAAATACAGAACGTTTTGACAGAATTTTGTCAGGAATTATAATCATCTCCTTAAAAGATTAATTTCAATGAAGACAATTAGAAGAATGAAAATTTAATTAAATATTAGAGAAGTTTCATTCTATATCATTCATACATAATACTTATCAACAGCCGTCAAAAAACTAATGTTTACAGTGATATTCGAATGGTGTCATATAGTGGTGTAAACATAATGATTATCACCGGACTACTGCGACACCAAATAAGTTCATTTGACATTGATAATCAGTCAATAGACAATTAAACTTAGGGATTTAGCAGTAAGGATATCCGCTGAAACCATATGTGCAGAATTCGAAATTATAGTGTTAAGTTATTAGAGTTGAAATAATTATCAAAGAGACAACTTACTTCGATAGTCCAATCCTCCAATATATCCTGAATAGTTACGAAGACGAACTTTACGACCTAAAAGCTTTAAAAATTCTTCAAATTCTGGTGTTGAGTGTTCTGAAATAAACATACATAAAAAAGTAAATCATAATTTTTATATTTATTATTTAATTTACAGATATCAAAATGATAATGACTGAATAGAATGTTAGAATCAGATCCTACATCAAGCTACTATTTCTCCAACATACATTTCCGATGCATATCAACTAGCATACAATATAGATCAAGGGCATTTATCTGACTGTGTTTAAACTTAAATCTTTAAACATATAAGCTTTTTTATGCCTACTGAGTTTGTCATCGAAATACAATAGCACTGCTTGATGCTGACTCAGAAGTCTAAAGGTTAAGTGATTGCGTGCTAAAATTTAGGTTGAGGGTTCGAGTCTTGTATGCAGGATTGTGGATGTACACTGTTGAGGAGTCTCATACTTGGATGAAACAGTTATCCAGTGCTTCCAAGTTTTCTATGGCGGTCTGGCATAGATTGGCTAATGAAATAAACTGTTGCAATACTACAATCTCCCCAGACCACCATTCTGACAATATATTATTATTAAATGTCCATACAACATGTTAACACATTATTTATAAATCCCGTTAGTTATCTATAGTTTCCGAAACGCCGTCTAAATTTTATTCATACCGTACACCTTACTTCATCAATTTGTATTAAAACCGGTATAAATATAAAGGGGCAGATATGTCATGTCCTTTACCGTGGTAGCCCCTCTCTTTTGTCTACATCTACAAGAATACAAGTTAGCTGTCATGGATAAAAAATTCTAAGTCAACGAAAGAAACTGTTAGTCGATTGAAGGGCAATTCAAATAACTCATTTCACTTTAACGTATGTGCAGATGATAGTTATAAAGATAACTAATAAAATTGGAAGGATATCCAAAACAACATTGAGAAAGAGGAACTTGAGATGATCTAATAGTACAGAAAACAATCACATTGTGACCTATTCAATAGATGATACTAGTTCATGAAGTCATTTATCATGATTTCAAGTTACAATAGAAATAAAATATCTTACTTAATAAGTCTTCATTAGATGACTAAGATCATTAGTTCTATAATGTAGATAAGAGCAAACAAAATCGGTGAAAAAAAAGTCGAAGATGTATTCATATTTTATCTATATCTTCTAAACCTTGTTATTTATTGGATATTTCATTTAGAGCTAACCTACATTCTTGATGTATATCTGAATATCGATTGAAATGAAACTGAACTTCTACGTTGCTATGCTAGTATGTTTTACAATTACGTTTATTATCAGTGTTTTAAACAATAAATAAATTTTATATTCCTATCCTAATTATGAAAGAAAAATAAAACCGGTACTGTTGATGTTTTGAGTGGGTTTTAGTCAAAATGTTTTTAATAAAATTATGAACCGATCAATGTTAGACCACCATTAAGAAACTTAAAGTACTGGATGGCCATTTCATCTCAGTGTGGGAATCCTTTGAAGCGCGCATCCACGATCCCGCATACGGGATGCAGACACAGTACCTTCGGTCTCATGTGCGATACCAGTTTATGTTGTTTTATGACGGTTAATTGAAAAATGTTAATTGCGAACGCATTGTGAACGCAGTGTCGAATCACCTAGACTAGTGGTCACATTGAAACTTGATCGATAGCATTCGATCTCCACTAATAAGTACTTGACACACATGACATTGATCACCACCCAGTGATCAATCAATTGTGACACATAAAATACATTATTTTCAATCCAGAATAACTCCAACGTTTCATCATATGTAAAATCAAAGTTAATTAACATTTCGAAATTACCTTGCAATAGACAATGGAGTATTTTAAGTCAACCTGTTTATGTAGACGTTGTGCAATTGAGTAATGCATATTTTGACTCCTGTCATATTGGTGATGAACAGAATGTCATTTTAAACAAAACTGAACTTGGATACTGAAATTGGATTCAGCTTAATGGAACAATGTGTTACATTTATCAATAAAGTAGTGAACTTGTCTATTTTTTTTTCTTTTTAAAATAACTAACCGAACTCATTTTGCTAATTGCGTGTATCTATGTGAATATTATTAAGTTGTTTGCTGAAACAGAACAACTGTTAGACAAATCGGCATCCAATAATCAGTCATATTTTTGTCTTCTTTTGACAAATAATTAAACTAAAGTAAAACTTTGATCATAATTAAGAAGTTCTTGAATATCATACACATTAAGCAAGCTGGTAATTATTTCGACTTGGTAGTTATGTAGATAACGTATTGTCATTTAAAGTGATAAGTACTGAATTTGATTATAATCATGAACATCAACACCGAAATGTAGTTAAACCTAGCAGAAATGTTCAAAATAATATAAAACGTGCATCTGGCACTCTACTACTAGCCATAATCTATCTGTTCTATGAATGGAACTTGGGATATTAGGTTTCATATTGTGATACTTATCATTATTATTATTGGCGTTATTCAGTATTATATTTTGGTACAATATAGAGTTCTCAGAACGAGGTATTTCAAAAAGTTTCCTTTAAAAAAAAAAGAAAAACAAAACAGAAAAAAAGGTAAAAAAAAATCTGAATGTGTATAACTTTTCAATTGAACACATGTTTAGGAATAAAGGTTATTGGTTCGGTCAACTCTAACATCCTATTTATCATAGAATGTATTTGCTAGGTAAGATATTATACAATTTTTTATACCTTTGCTAACGTGCATGGATTTTAGTGTATTGACATCTCGTTCTACCAGAAGATATGCAAGGACAAATATAAAAATATATATATGAATGAAGGGAATAGTTAGTATCTGATATCGTTAAGATATTTTTATCTTTTAGAAATGTAAACATTATTTCCACATTCATTGTAAATAATTAATAACTAGGAGCATGTATTCATGTACAGTTACCTATTCCATTGGTGATAATGAGTAATTCATTCACGTATGCATATATATATATATATATGTTTATATTATTAATTATGAAACGATACATAAATATTTACGTTTGTTGTAAACTATCTGATAATGTATAAAATATTTGTGAAAGGGTGATAATGAATTTTAAAGGTACTAATTTGAATCATGCCTACACTAACCATTTTCGATATGAAATGAACTACATTTGATTGTCTATATTAAGAATATATGATAGATATACATATTCACAAATTGAAAATATTCTATGCATAGTGTTAATAAATAAACAGAATAAATAAATCTTATGTAAATCTATGCGTAGAGAATCATATACTTTGCCCCCAAATGCCCTGGTACGGCCGAGAGTGTGGAAGAGTCATCCTCTCTCTAGAAATGGCCATGTGTTAACAGCCTGTGCCAGAGATATACTACACACTGCCTTCTCGTGGCATTACTATTGTTCACGAAATTGAGAGGACGAAAAGATAATTTATGGTGCTTTAACCGGGTTGGTGGATACAGAGGATATACCTAGGGTTGTTGGAAAACCCTGATTCCAAACCAATAGCGCATACGGGCTTCAGGATCATGAAATAACAAATGGCGTATGAACCAATCGTTGGTCACCGGCTACCATGGGATGGCATCTCCTTACGATGCTCTACTACCTTGTGGGTCAGACCTTTAGGTTAAAAGCTCCGGGTGTGGCCCCCTAAGAGAATCACTTGCTTCGGTCTGGGCACCTGGGCAGCTCTCACACAATATATATATATATATATATATATATATATATATATATATATATATATATATATATGATTGAGTTGTGTATCTGTTTATTCGTACTTCTGGTTGGTTGTGGAATATATCTTTCCCTATTCTGAAACTGTTCTTCTCCCTTTTATTAGCAGGGATGGCACATTTAAAATGTATCATAACTTCGTCAAAGTATACGTGTGTAAATATTAATTATGATGAATAAGTGACACTAGAAAGACATTTCATTGGTTGGTTAACAATGAAATTTTACTTCAAAAGATGTAAGCAAAAGTTTGGAGATACAATTTACACGCTGAAATATGTTGAGACATTTAGGGAGAAAATTTGTTCACCATATCACTATAAAGGAAAAATTGAATTCAATTCAATCACCAAGTTTGTCAAACAAACATCATTCTTATAGATAATATTATAATAAGGGAATAGTTATCTTAATTTTACACTTGATTTAGAAGCATTTTTTATTAACGCAAACAGCATTATTTGATAAAATGAAACGGATCACTTGTTTGTAACGTATATCCCATAAGTATGCAAAATATGAAGAAATATCGTGAAGAACCTACGTATAACCAGTTGACGAGTAGCACATAACCTAATTTTTTTAAGAAATTTCACGAATCTCCTTCCATCGGCAAATCTTTAAACATGCTTTAAAGAGCACTTAAAACAGTGATCTTTTGTCATATGAAGACGAAGAATAAATGAATGGTAACTACTAGAAACTATTTATGGTCTATTATTGCATATATTCTTATTGGATAACTATTAAGTAACTAGATTATACGTGTATTCATATTCTTTTCATCATACGTTTCCATTTGACCTATTGACCGATTATAATATGATTTACTATTTTCAAATTATTCTCAACCTAATAGTTTCAGCATTTCACACTAACAGCCACTTTTTGCTTGACTCCAGGCTACCCGTATTGTTTAGAGGTCATTGGTTTGACACTGTGCCAAGGTCATATAAGTCGTTGTTTTAATTGGCGATTAAGTCACATGATAATTAACAAGACATAAGAACATGACACCTTTATTACAGAATAACAGACGTAATTCAATCAGAAATAAGCTTGCTAAGCAAATATGATATATGTTACTTTGAAGAGATCAACTAATGTCATTCATCTGAACATTTTTTGGTTAGTTGAAATTTAACCATATCTTGAAAATTATTAGAAATTCGGTTGGAATAAATTACCCATAATATCTTGAGCGAGATCAAAGTCTATGGATTATTCAGTTAGCCTAATTTTATCATCATTAAATATATTAATTCTACAAATGTTTTTCTTAGTAAAATCATATAACCGAGATCATGGACCGATATGTGTTAGA